CTCTCTCTCTCTCTCTCTCTCTCTCTCTCTCTCTCTCTCTCTCTCTCAGTGCATCTGACACCCTCACAGCAGCCAAATGATTCATAAGCGAAGTGATTCTGCCTTGCGGAAACGTAGCATTCCACCTCATTTACATATCTTATGGGCTCTTTGGAATCGACAGTGACAAACACTAAACACAAGCACGCCAGGATAAAATAACACATGTTTTTCTTTTTTCGGCAGCAGCACCCGGTCGTAAAAATATCATAATTCAGTTAGCAAGACTGAACAAGTTTTTTTTCATTTTCCACTCACCTTGGAACAGACAGACTGCTACTTGTCCCATGTCTTACTCGTTCATACTGTACTCCAAGAGGGAACATTCTCTAGTGCATCATATAGTCACTTTCATTGGTCCTGCTTCCACGTGTGTTAACCAAAATCACAAAAAAAATGTGAATGTGAATTCAGTATTTTCTATTAATTCCAAAATACTTTCAGACTGTTCACAATGTCTCAAACTGAATACTAGTTGCCTAAACTAATTGACAAACTGGTCCCGGCAGTTGCATAATGGAAACCTTAGGAACCTAAATAGAAGGCTGGATTTGTATTTGTATCAAATGTATTTTATCTAAAAGGTAGAAAGTCTAAACTTCTACAAACTCTTCTACATACATAATCCTCTTTTTTCATCACCTGGCGCCAATCAAATCTGGCCATCATCCCAAAGCTCGGCTCAGCCTTAAAAGCCTTGCTCTAAAAAGATATCTAACCAAGTTTCCACACTTCAGATGTCATACATCCATCTCCAGCCTCTAGTGAGGGCTGGAATCTCTTCTCACACAGCTAAGAATCTCTGGACGTCCTACAGCAGAGATCTACTGTAAAGGGCCTACTGTCCACCAAGACCCACACAGGAAGCAGATCGCCTCCGAATACTGAGCCATTTATTGCACTCAATCTCCATCACTGTTTTCTCCCACTTAGGTGTGGAAAATCACATAAGTGTGTGTGTGTGTGTGTGTGTGTGTGTGTGTGTGTGTGACAGAGAGACGTAGAGTTAACCAGAGGTGAAGGTTTCAGCCTGGTACCACCAGTAGAGATTAGTGCTGAAACAGCAATAAATCAATTAGCTGATTGACAGAACATTAATCATCTACCTTTTGAACGGATGGATTCTTAAGACATTCATGATATCACTTTGAAATGTCAAATGTTGTCCGGCAATATTGGAAACTGAAGCTCTAAAACAGAACAAGTTGTTTGAGGCGATGGGGATAATGGACGTATTGCACTATATTCTATAGACTAAACAAATAAGTGGATGAAAAACATAATGAAAAGTTGACTTGAGAAGATATCAGCTGCAGCTCCATTCGTGATAAAGATGTATTCTATTTAGAACACAGAGAAGACATCCGTATGCTTTAACCAAAACCTAAAGTGTATCGTGGGGTAAACAACCGTTAAGCCACACCTTTCTGAAATTAGAATTGGGGGGGCGCCCGTGTCCAACAATAAGCCTGTCACGATAACAACTTCTGTTGCACAATATATTGTGCCAGAAATAATTGCGATTAACAACATTATTGTCATTTCGAGACCATCTTATGCCACCGACGTGATGACAATACAATAGCGCGATGATGCAGGTACAGCCTTTAAAAGAGCAATGGGTCTATTCATTCTGAAGAATATTCAGACATTGGAATTGGATTGTGAAAATATATTTAAATATTCTTAGGGAACAAAACATAAATAAAATAAAACCAGTAACAACGGTTAACAACAATGCACAAGGTGTGTGCATTGCCCGAGTCTTATAATGTTGGGGAATACCCTGCTGTTTATTCTGGCAGCATGTTGGCTAAAGTGACATTCTCATGTCAACAAACACAACGGTCAGTATCGAGGTCACCAAAAACCATCGAGGTCACGTCCACATACCGAATGATAAGTATCACACTATATAATATAATATGGATGAAGAATGTTATTTATAATCCAGCGACATGATGGCCAAAACTATGAAAATGATTTGTAGTAAATAGCCTTTAAGTAGAAATGTATGAACAAAACTTGTGGAGGATAAAAATGGATTACATCATCAAAAGGGGATGCTTAACAGCAGAAGCTGAAGCAAAAAAAACTTGCTGTGGAAAATCTGAATAAATGTTCCGTATAAAAGAAAATGAAAAAGAGAATATGAAGTCATTTGTGGATATGCATATAAATGGGTTCCCACTGGAGCGCCGATTAAGTATGCAATTCTTTCTCTCTGCTTTATTCATGTTATTTTTCAGCTCAGAAAAGTCGTAAAGTGAACAAATATTCTGACTGCCAGTGCAGTTGGGTTTTCTGTGCATAAATAAAATGTAATAAATGTCAAAAGAAAAAAAATATAGACTTTCTACAATAATCAAGGAACTTCAAAGCTCCCACTCGTTTCTAGAGATGATTTTGCAGGACTTATCCAGGACATTTTCAGCTGGTATGACAGAAATCACACTAACGTGTTCCTCTCCATGGAAGTCTATGGCAAGAACTTATCTGTGAAATCACCTCTTACATGCTTAGAAATCGTGTCAAATTGAACCAAACATGCCAACCGATTTACCATTATTCAAACATTTAAACATTGTGTTTTCAATGACTGGAAAATTGGTCGACCGTTTTCCCAGAGGTTCTCCGGGACGCGTGGGAACCCTCATACAGAATGTCTACCATTTCTTCCGGAGCTTAGCAGATAAATACGGCATTCTCACTTCCACGGTTAGGAGATCATTTCCCGCTGGAGCCTCCCACGTCAGCACACTTTCACCGGGAGTTTTTTTTTGGGGGGGGGGGGGGGGATTCTCTACCAAACGGCAACATTAATGCACACAAACGGGACACAGGCACTGCTTTGTGTTTGATGTAATCATTCTGCGGCAGTCAGGGGGAAGTTTACATGCGGGTCCTATTGTGGAGCTGTTGCTGCTGAAGACTCCGACATGCATAAAAACAAGAGCCCGAAGGCACAAAAAGGCACATTGATAGTGAGACAGATAGAGGGGTTGGGCGTTGGGCTGCGTGCCAAAATGGGGTCTAAACTGTCCCAGCAGCGGTATGGAAAGAACAGGGCCTTTCAGGAGTTCTAGTTACAACAAGAGTCAGCATTCCTCACATAGCACACCCACCACGCTGTCCTACTCGTTCGCTCCTCTCTCCGACTGTGTATCTACAAAACTGCCAGCTCCCTTTTTCTCCCTCCTGCCTTCCATCCCCTCCCTCCTTCCCCCTTCACATAAAAGTAGTAGGGGGCTCCTTCTGACAACAGGATCAATTAAAGTACCAGCATGTTGACTCTCTGTGGTGTGCGTGTGTGTGTGTGTGTGCGTGTGCGTGCCCCCCACCCCTCACCCCGAGGAGCTGGTGCAAACAGATGTGTAGTAAATCTCAAGCATTGTGATTTCTTGCACAGACTCAGCTCCCCGCTGAAAGCTGATGTCCACAGGAAAGAGCACAAAGAGCCGAGGAGTTGCCAGCGTGGAAGCCCTCTATTGTTTTCTATGGTTACAACAAAACAAAGCAAAGGAAAACCGTGTGATGCATAAGCGACGCTCCGGACTACTGTTGCCACCCGCCCTCTGAAACTGCTCTCGGAACAGTTGAAGCATCCTGGACAGATAAAAAAAAAAGGGATCCTGGTGCTTTTAATGTGGAGAACGTAGTTCACTGAGGAGCAAAAGAACGCTCAAAAGAGGAGGGAAAGACATGAATCTATACCTGGGAGGATCGGTGGCTCCTCCAGTCCATGTCGATGTGTCCTTGGGCAAAACACTTAACCCCACATTGCTCCAGCAGCTTGTGCCATCAGTGTATGAGTGGGTGTGAATGTGAATTAGTTTGGTCCTAATGGGCTGGAAAGACATGTCGGCGTCATGCACTTTGAGTGGCCGGAAGTCTAGAAAGGAGGCTATTCAAACGCAAGTCCATTTACCATTCAGGTGAGACGAGGGGAATGTCTTTTTGTGAGTCGGGTGTGCAAACAAACACTCGCTGCACGATCAGACGGGTGTGCGAATAGCACCGAACCTCTTCAGAGTAAAAGAACACAGAGGAGGAGGAGGAGGAAAAGCTGGAAAATGTAAATAAAAAATAAAAGACAACAAATAAAAGCTGGCCTGCTTGTGTTCGTCTCCTTCAGCGTGACTGCAGCTGGCAGCGGCGTCTGTTGCTCAGGATTTGCACGGCTGCGAAACTCATTTTAAAAAACGTCTTTGATCCCGGTCCACGCATGTAAAAAAAATTTAAAAACTGGACAGAAAAAGCATAGCAATAAGGGAGGTAAAATAACATTGCATTTGTCTCCGAAGGCACATTACATAATTTCACATGTTGGCAGGAGATAAATGTATGAAATTCAAGGACTTCCATCTATTCATTCTGGGTTCAGACGACACAATATCAGCCCAATAACAGCCCGACAGAAATGAGCGGGCGCGCGCAAAAATGTCTCGTTTTCTCCCGCGTTTATTAGAGGACACAGCTCATTTGGACATCTGGGATGCTGCAAACGTCCCGGCAAAAGGACTGGCATGTCGAAACGTTTTGCCTTCTTTCGTTTGTTGTACAACAAATAGTTCCGGCAGGGTTTTACTTTCATTCATGCAACTCCCGATTATATATATGATAGGTGCCGTCAGGTGGAGCTTGACCACGTGGTACCTCCGTTCCG